ATCCAGGACCTATGATCCAGGACCACAGCCACGACTCAAGATCCAGGGCTTGCGATCCAGGACAGAGGAGCGCAGGATCATCCATGACTCCGGATCCCGGCGTATATAGACACCAAGAAGAAAGAGATTTGGGGAAGCTGGGTTAATCGGACCCAACCCTGCATACTTGGAACGCAATGCCCTAGTAGGACAGTAGGGTATAATGAGTTCTTTAAGGTAAGATGGCGCCTGCCCATTAAGGGCTTTGTAGTAGAGTGCTTTTATTCCAGTAGTGATGAACCGGGTCAAGCAGCTGCAGTGCGTCCATGATGTGCACAGGTAGGCTTTAGTGAAGCTGATGATCCAAACTGTTAACAAGTGTTTGTACTGTTTAATGCATTATAACTTATTCTGTTTATGCTATCAATCTGCAAGTCTCTGTATATCTGTACATTCTACTATCCTATGTATATACAGTATACTCCTGTAGTGTAAACATATATTCATGTTACTAACTGCAGTACTCTTGACTTTTTTTTAGAACATTTTAATTATCCAGAATTGTTATATTGTTGATATTTGATATTGTAGTGCAGAGAGAAGGGAGTCAGAGGCGCGGCATCGAAGGTGCAAAGTTGGCTTTATTAAGCAAGAGAAAAGCACATGGCTTGAAGCCCGGGAAGCAAAGAGGAAGAAGCAAGGAGGGCACACAATAAATACAGTCAGCAACACAAATGTCCGTGCGGAAACAATACCCCCAACCCGTAGTTCCATGAGTGAATTATGTAACCTAGTTCATTAGTGATCACTACACAAGCCCCTCCCAGAATTAAAACATGGACACAATCCTCGCGTCTGGGAGGAAGCACCACAGGGGCCGAGGAGGGTGGGGCCGCAGGCGAGGGCCGGGCCATGGAACGGGCCGTCGGAAGGAGGCCGCAGGAGCGGGCAGGGGGGCCCCAACGAGAGCGAGGGCATCCACACCGGGGGGGTGGGGGACGGGTCATGGAACGGGCCGTCGTGAAGTCGTCGGCGGATGAAGACAACATCAAGGAAATTGTGAGAGGATCCACACCAACAAACATTGTATGATACCTAAACTAAACCTGTTCCACACCTATGAAGATGTCTTGGGCTCGTCCGGGATTTGAAGCCGGGACCTCTCGCACCCTAAGCGAGAATCTTACCCCTAGACCAACGAGCCATGACAAAAGGGTATATTTTTGTCTTCCCAACGATATCCTGTTGAAATGAAACTGCTAACCACTTTATCATTAATTGCACTTTGTCCTCAATGAACATAGCTTGGATGAAAATGCATGGCTTCTCTAAGATGAGCCTTGATCATTATTCAACCCACCTCATCACTAGATTTCCAGCAGGGCACAGTATTGGTCAAATTGTGAATTACACATTGCTTCCAACGAAAAAATGATGATTTTTTTTATTCAGTAGCTCAGTTACCGTTACTACATGGTGCGTTACTCCGTTATTTTTTGTATATAGTCTCGGCTCCCAGACGTTGGTGAGCGGCGCCAACAGCGAGGCGAACAGAGATGAGAACTGTACTTAAGTACTTGAGTAAATGTACTTAGATACTTCCTGTGCCACATGCGGAGACGCGCTGTGGGCGTGTTTGTGTTTACTAACAAGACTATCATGGCGGCGGCGGAGCTCAAGTCGAGTTTCTCCACCTGGAGATATTCTCACTATTTCACTTTTGTCGAGCACAAAGAAAAGAACGTTTTAGATAAATGTAAGTTGTGTCTTGGCGGGTCAAAGATCCTATCTACTGCCCAAACCAGTCATTCAAATCTGTTGAAACATCTGCAGAGACAACATGCTGGGACGTTGATAAAGCCATTGCACGGTATGTTGTAGAACACATGCAGGCTATTTCTACTGTTGCTATGTCTTGATCAGCAGATTGTATTATTCTCCAATGCAATAACAGAACTGAAATGAAGGCTATAAGGGCATTAATGGGAGCCCTTTGTTTAAGTAACGCGTTACTGTGAACAGTAACGCGTGACTTGTTGGAGGAAGTAATCAGTAAAGTAACCGAGTTACTTTTGAAACGAAGTAACTAGTAATGGTAACTAGTTACTGGTTTTCAGTAACGAGCTCAACACTGGAAACCAAAGCCCAGTCTGCTCTGATTGGTTAGCTGGTTGGCTCTGTTGTAGGTGTCCCGCCCCTTAGCCATTCACGTACAATGTGTTGGAGCGCCATGGAGAACTTTGGGGTTTTGTGCGGGCCATTTACATGCACACAAACAAACACAAACAAATAACACACTTCAGGAAAGGGAAAACACCTCAAAGCACAAGAAGGCCCTTTAAGTTCAGTGTAATGTAATAAACATAAGAAACAATCCGGACTTCATCTCTTACAGCTTTAGTGTTTATTTCACCATGTTGCTCTTTTCAATTACATGCCAGTGAATGTCCGAAACACAAAATCAGATTTTGAGCGAGGAGGAAATTGACTAAACCAACTTGAATAAAATATAAAAACATGCACACCACTCCAATAAAAACAACTTCAATCAAATGTAAAAACAGGTTCAGAGAGGGGGGGCAGCGGGCTCCCAGGGGAGGTGTGGCTGACCCAGACCATCCCCCCCGCTGAGCTGTCCGTTATCACGCCGCTCTTGGTTCTCGTGCTACGGCGCACCAAGCAGCGCCCTCTGCTGGGGTCTTCTCCCACCGACAACACTCTGCGGTTGAGAGGTATGGCGAGTGTCGGCGAGGCTGTGAAATCCGTGGGGCTGCGGAGGTCCCGTTGAGTTTGTGGCGTTTGGGATTCCTCTGTGGGGTCTTCAGCACCGAGCGCGGGTTTAAGCTCCCCCGGGGTGTGGGGGCTCGGGCTGGGGTGGACCCCTTTTTTAGCGGGGTGCTGGGGGGCAGCGCCTTATCAAAGAACTCTGGAGAGAGCGGACATCCAAAGCGCACTCTTCTTCTTAAACACATCCTCTCCTGAAAAGACAGAAACACTTTAACTGCAGCCATTGACCTTTACTCCCTGTAGAGGCAGAGGGGAAAGATACTTTGCTATTAACTCCTGCTGTTTTATTATTGGATCATGTCATGGTAGCTAGAGACATATAACAAGACATTGAATAAAGGACATCTATTGCAGTGGTTCTCAACTGGTGGGTCGCGTACCCGTTTCGAGTGGGTCGCAGATGGACTGACATTACAGCACCATTTGTTGTTGAATAGATTTGAGTGGTTCAAAATGTCGGGTCGCCATTTATTGACAAAGGAAAAAGTGGGTCCCGAGGCCTGACCAGTTGAGAACCTGCTCTATTGTATTTTGAATGACATACATGACATTTTCTTAACTTAAAAAAGCAAAACACTTAACTTTGATTGACCTTATTGCTTTCTATCAACTAAATGTATCCTCAACACTGAATACATATCCACATTAACAAGGTGGCGATGTTTTCCTTTCAAAGACCATAAAACACTAACTATCGGAAATATAAGAACTTCATACTTATACAAATATATTGTTATTTAACAGGTTCACTCAACAAAGAAAATACTATCATAAATAATATCTGAGTAAGCTAATCCTATTACAGGTGTTCATCCATTTAAACCCTCTCCCACCACAGCTAAAAAAAACACACTCCAACTCAGGAAACTGACATTCTGTGAACTTTCTGTGCAGAAAGCTCAAAGGCAGGTTGAGCTGAGATTAAAGGGCAGTTACTCATGCGTTGCCACTGAGAGTGCTGTGTTTACCGTTAGTCAATGTCGTCGGCCCCGGAGCCTCTGCTAGGCGGCGTGCCCCTACCAGGGAAGGTGCCGCTGCGTGTAGAGGCCAGCACCTCAGGGGTAAATGGCCGGGCAGCCAGGAAGAACCGGTCAGCTTCTTCGGCTAAAGCGCGGGGCTCCGCACTAGCCGTGTTAGCGAGCGCAGCCTGGACATGCAGCCACATGTCCCGAAGAAACAGCTCCATGAAAAAGAAGTCGGGCTCTTCCGTACCTAGCAGGTCGTGTATCGTCTCCATGTGGTCAGAAGGCTTGCTGTCTCCCAGTGCCGAAACGATGTGGGAATGGCGAACGACGTGTTTGGCGATTCCGCGGAGGGCGCACCGAGCCTCAATCCGTGGGCACACAATAAATACAGTCAGCAACACAAATGTCCGTGCGGAAACAATACCCCCAACCCGTAGTTCCATGAGTGAATTATGTAACCTAGTTAATTAGTGATCACTACAATATCATATTTTTCATTTTTTCTCTATTCAACTTTTTAAGTATTTGTATTTTATGTCTGAACACAATGATGCTTCTTCTGTAACAAAATAATTGATGTTGAATGGAGGGTGCAGTACTGAGTGTTTCCAGCAGAGGGCCATCCTGCATTACAATGAAAACACCACCACACCGGAAGAGTTCAGACATCTATATTTAGTTGAATAACCCTGATTTAAAAACTAATCAAGGTTCACATCCTCTCCTCCAAATGTGTATTGTTGGTACTTTAAGTATATTTTGATTCTAGTAGTTTGTTCTAGAGATAGAAGAGAGGAGATCGTTCACAGCGGCCATTATCGTTATCGTACCTGCTGACAGAAAACCAGACAGACGAGTTCTGACTGATATCCCACTGATACTCTGACAGTAAAGGCTGTTAAAGGTTAGCGGGCATTTAAGGACGCCTTCTGAAGGACACTCACCAGATAATGACACTGATATGTTTCATCATGGGGCAGGAAGACCCATGCAAAAGCTCCCACCACCACATCAATACAAGAACAGACACGTTGTAGTAGTTGTATCTCTTTCTGTCGTCATCTCTAGTCTCTGTAGTTGTATTTGTATCATGGGGTCTCTTCCTGGTTCATGTTTCTTTGAGGGACTTTAGATGGTGACGCCCTGAGCATTCATCTATCAGGACAACATATATTATTACAGCAGTTAGGATTCAACTAAATGCATTTCCTGCTGAACATGTTCTCCATCAGCTTCGTACGGCACCTTGGACATCATACAAGAAGAACATCCTTTTAGTTTGTACTTTATTCATCATCCAAACATTTCATTTGATCCCACATCCCATCAGTAAAGTCTGTTCAATGACTATTGATCAATGGCTTCATGATCACTTTCCCTTCATCCACTCCATGTGTTTCATCTCAGCTGTTTCAAACAGAAGGATACATGATGTACTTATTGATTATGATCATGATAATGTGTGTTCTATAAAACAGAGTACCCCATTTCTATTTGGACAACAACAACAACAACAACAATTAGCCTGTAATATTATACCATTGATTTCCCAAGCAAAGACTCTGAGCTATTTACAGGAGAATAACACATGATGGACTTATTGATTATGATCAAGACAGGAAGTAATATCATTTTGAATAAACATGTTATGATGAAATAATTGTTCTAACCATCTGGGTTGAATGTGTTGGTTCATTTGGGCAATAACATGGAATCTGTCAAAGTAATACATGTGATTCTAAATGTCTCTGAAGACTCGTGCACTACAAGAGAAACAACAACATGAATCAAAAGAAACATCCAGCAAATCTTTAGAGCAAAGTTTCCAGGTGAGCAAGGATCCTCCTGAGCAGTGACAGCCTCCATGCTACACAGACACAGGAAGGAGCCGGGAGAAAGTCCAACATCTACAGAACAACTCATGAGAAGACGTTCAAGCCCCGCCCATCATGTTTGAGTGACAGCTGATCTCTGCAGTGAAGACATGAACAATCAGCTCTGATGGACACACGGTGAGTTCAAGAAGTAGAAGAGTTCTTCCAAGGACTTCAGACTATTAGAGTTTACAAAACTCAGCAGTGTCTCCATAATTAAAATAAACATAAAGTCCAGCATGTAGCGGCTGAGTGAACGTGGTCTGCACTCTGTGGAGGAGAGTCATGGTTTCAGAGACGCTGTAGAAGGACAGAACACCTGCTCTGTGATCCAGGTACACTCCTACTCTGGAGGACAGAGGACCTGAGACGGGAGTGAGGATACTGTTGTGAATAAATGTAAAACTGTTTTGGTCACAAACTAACGCCCAGGATTTGTCATTGTTTCCAAATAGACTTTCCCCCCCTGCTCTGCTGATATTCTTGTATGCGACAGCTACACGAACTCCTTCCCCTCTCCACTCCACCTCCCAGTAACAACGTCCAGTCAGACTCTCTCGACTCAGGACCTGAGGATACCATCCAGTGAATCTGTCTGGGTGACTGGAATAAGACTGACGTTGTTCCACGGCTGTTGCTTTTCTGCTCCCCTCAGATAATAACAGATATGTGAATGCTGTGTTTGGATCCAGAGTGATCTCCTGTGAATATGTGAAGAACCCAGCTTCAGTCGGTGAGACGTTTGTCCATCCCTCTCTCAGGGCGTCCTGTAGTTTGTCTCTGACTGCTGACAGGGCCGCCGTCACGTCCTCAAAGTAGCTCAGAGGACGGATGTTGATGCTGGAGGAGTGTGTAGCTTCACTGAGGGCTGACAGTGAGGGGTAGCTGAGCAGGAACTGGTTGTGATCCTCTGTGTGAGACAGCAGCTTCAGCTCAGCGTCTCTCCTCTTCAGCTCAGAGATCTCCTGCTCCAGCTTCTCCTGGAGCTCTCTGACTCGACTCACTTCTCTCTTCTGCTGGGATCTGAGCTGCTGCTTCACATCAGAGCTTCTCTTCTCCATGAGACGGATCAGCTCAGTGAACGTCTTCTCACTGTCCTCCACTGCTTTATCAGCAGAGCCATTGACGGCCTGCACCTCCTGCTGAAGCAGCTTCACCTCCTTCTCTCCGTCCTGGATCCTCTGCTGGATGTTGAGTCGACTCCCCTCCAGCTCTCTCTGCCTCTCAGTCCTCTCTGCTGCAGCTGACACTGTGTCGTGGCCTTTGTGTTCGTCCACAGAGCAGAGAGAACAGATACTCTGCTGATCAGTGCGGCAGAACAGCTTCTTCACCTCGTCGTGACGAGAGCAGATGTTCTCCTGGAGCTTCTTGGAGGGCTCCACCAGCTTGTGTTTCTGTAATGGAGCTGCGTCATAATGAGGCTGGAGGTGTTTGTCACAGTAAGAGGCCAGACACACGAGGCAGGACTTACAGGCTCTCAGCTTCCTCCCAGTGCAGACATCACAGGCCACAGCTTCAGCTCCAGCATAGCAGAGATCAGCAGGAGCAGCTGGGGGTCCAGTCTTCTTCAGCTCCTCCACTAAAGCTGCTAACATGGTGTTCTTCAGCAGGACAGGCCTCGGTGTGAAGCTCTGCCTGCACTGAGGGCAGCTGTGGATCTTCTTCTCATCCTCTCCGTCCCAGAAGCCTTTAATACACTTCATGCAGTAGCTGTGTCCACAGGTAGTGCTCACCGGATCCTTCAGTAGATCCAGACAGATGGGACAAGATAACATTTCCCGCTCCAGCTGAACTCCTTTCTGCGCCATCTCACCTCTCAGTAGCAGCGAGTGTGAGTTTCACTTCCTGAGAGCTGAAACTAGTGACAGCTGATCTGACAGCATGTGTGTGAGCAGTGAATGTGGCCTATCAGCTCTGTACTTTACCCACATGTTGGTTTCACCCCTCCTCCTCAGTGTGGGTCTGAAGGGGAGGAGCCAGGAAACACAGAGTGGAGCTGGCTGTGTCTGAGAGCAGGAAGAAGAGGGAGGGCTCATCAAACGCTGACTCATTCCAGGAGGAGGAGCAGCGCTCAGACTCTGACCTCCACAGAGCCTCGGTTACAACCTGCTCTTCCTTTGAAAAGAGCTTTTAGTTGTAAAATAAGTTGGTAAACTTACAAAATCTGAAGGGGGTTAAATACTTGTTTCCTCCACTGTAAATGTATAGAAGGCCTCTTTACCAAGCTCCAAACTAAGTGAAATATCACAAAAAGTGTAAAAGATATCATAAATCTGAAGAACATGTTTAATAGCTGAATGTCTTGTGATCATCTTAAAGTTGGAATGAAGTCTCTAGCTGAAAGTATGTGGAAGGAGAAGCTTTTGGTGCACGGTGTAGCTAAAAGAGGATTTGAAGGTTCCTCCCATTGAGTCACATGTTAAAGAAAGAGTTTAAAAAGCTGAATATTTCAAAAAGTAGAAAGTGTTTTGAAAAAGTACAAAGTGTCCCATCATGGGCTGAAAAGGCTGCATCTTGTGATGTCTGAATGGTTCCTGGAGCTGAAAGTATGGCTGCACAGCATTCCACTAAGTAAACTAATGCAGTGCACCAAGCAGCTCTCTGGTGTTCCCTCCAGCTTCAAGTCAGCATGAAGTCACGGAGAGGCAACACCATCCAGCTCTGAAGGAGTTTCTGTGCTCACTTCCTGTCTCTTTGTATTCATGTTGGGAAACTTTGTACACATGTGATGTCTCTTTTTGGATATTTGGAGTTTTTACCTTTGAAACTCTAGATATTTCGCCTCCTTGTGTTTTCTGTAATCCCTTGTTTGTTCCAATGTGGCCGTTAATGTCTCCCTGGTTCATCACATGGAGACGCCCTGATCAGTGAACTATGGACGACAGATCTCTATCAGCTGAGATTGGAAATGTGCACCATGTCCAGTAACCTGGTTCATGTTCCTCAGAGTTGCAGAAGATGCTGACGCTCTGTTCAGTAATGAAATAGACCTGATTTCAGGCGAGTGCCAGGTAAGAGACACTTTGAAAAGCTCTGCTTCAAAGCAGCTCCGCCTCTTTGTGTTGTCCTTTATCAGCAGGTGGTGTTTGTACGTCTCTCTGTAGTAACTCAGTCCCTTGGTGCTCATTCTGTGTCTTTCTGCTCACGCTTCATTGTGGTCACTTTGAGGGTCTATATTCTTATGAACCATTCAAACCTAAAAGCTTACAAGCTTTAAAGTTACCTTCAGATTTAAATGAGAAAAAGTCACGAGACAGAAAACAGAATCCAGCTCAAAACGTTTATTCAGTCATCAGAAACTTCCATGTTAAGTTTCACAGGAGAGGAGGATTATGGGTAATGTAGTCAAACATGATCATCTACATATGATCAGATCAGGTGAACTCTGAGGATCAGCTGGGATCTCTCAGGTGACTTCAGTTCTTCCCCCCCATGGTGTGCTTGTCGAACAGGTACTCGGCCATCTTGTTGGTGTTGGAGTCCATTCTGCTCAGATTAGAGATGAAGTCTCCGAGCTTCTTGATGGACTCGACCTGCTCGTTCAGGTAGTGAGTCTCCAGGAAGTCACACATCTGAGGAGGAGAAGAGAGCAGACGTTAACAACTAAAGCTTCAGAGACGTTGAATCCCAGAGATCATCAGTGTGTAGTTCCTCATGTTCAGCAGGTGTTACTCACATGAGGGTCGGCGTGGTCTGAGGCCAGTTTGTGCAGATCCAGCAGAGCCTGGTTCACGTTCTTCTCCAGCTGCAGAGCGGCCTGCATGGCCTCCAGACCCGAGCCCCACTCGTCTCGCTCTGGCTTCTGTAACGAGGGACCACCAGTTAGAGGGGGAGGGTACATAAAGCAAAGAGCCTCAGTCTTAGTTTGAAATAAGTGAGAAACATGTTTATTTAAGACAGATTTAGGAAAGCCACCACTAAGTGTGTCCCTTTAGAATAACCCGTATGCACTTGCAGTCTACATCACTTCTTCATTTAAGCACACTAGTTTCTCATGTTTACATAAGACATTTAAAAATATTTGTTATGTACTTTTTTTTATATGCATTTAATTATATTTTGTACTCGAGCCCAAAGCTTTATTCACAAGCTGCTGTAACAAGAATAAAAACCCTTTAAAGTACATTTAATCTATTAGACGACATGTCAATATACATACTAACATTAGTCCTGTGCAATAAAGCTTGAGAACAGGACGAGGTGCAAATGGAAATATTCTGTATCTTTCCAAGACAAGCCTTTAATGCATCCGTTAAAGTCAACGCCCTGTTGCATTGTGGTACATATAGTTGGATAAATGAACCCCACCAGTCTAAATAAGCTTTCTCACGGCGCTGCCAAGTCACCTGAGCCGAGAGCCAATGAAATCTGTGGCTTTAACGGCACGAGGATGTTGAGATTTAGGGTAAAATAAATGCACGTATTTAAACTCTACACATGGAGCTGCTGTGATGCAAGGAGCATCTCAGACTTGATCTGACCATTAAAGGATTCTCGTATCGTAGAGGTCCTGCAGATATTTACCTTGATGTCCTGCAGGAAGATGCGTCCTCCTCGACTGTTCTGGAAGGTGAGCAGCTTGTCGGCGTGCTCCCGCTCCTCCTCGCTGGTCTCCTTGAAGAAGTGAGCGAAGCCGGGCAGGGCCACGTCGTCACGGGAGAAATAAAAGGCCTGCAGACAGAAGACAGAGGTTAGAGAACAGACCGCTCGTTACACACAGAACAGGTCGAGACAAACGGTCGTTATGAGCCGAGGGCAGACAGAAACATGAGTCATGATTTCAGGGTGGGGATAACAACCAGCGTAAGCATGACACAGCATTATGTGGACTGAATTGTGGACAGGGACTAGAACAGTCACAAATGGAAGCAGTATTTAGATCCATAACTTAAGTAGAAGTACTATCATCTTAAAATACTAAAGTGTCTGATTAGATAAAGTCAGTAAACCCGTTCAGTCTGAGGTAGAAACAGGAGGGTCTGTAATCTAAAGACACTTTAACAGAAGAGAGAATAATGGAGTCTGTAGCCTTTAGGTTATGCTAATGCGTGTTAGCTTAAAACAGGGATTCTGTGATTTGATGATATCTGTAAAACAATAGTCTGCTATCTTGTATTTGTACACCCTGCATCACCAGATGACTCCACGGTTATGGAGATCATGTTGTATTTGATTGGGTACCAAACAGTTCAACAGCTTTTACTTTGTGTGTGTCGTTGGCTCGAGGCACTTGTGTTTTGCCCACCAGAGACTACGTGGTTCCCCTGTGACGTTAGCTTGTTTACTCATAATACACTTACACCATTTAATACAGGCACACAATGAACATGTAACGGTGTAAAGAGTGTTTGTTACCATGGAGGTGTAGGAGTAGGAGGCGAACAGCTCCATGTTCAGCATCCGGTTAACGGCCGCCTCGCAGTCGCGGTGGTAGTTCTGTCTCACCTGGGAATCCATCTCAACTGGCGTTTCTTCGCTGTTTTTCTTAACAAAACGGTACAAAAATAAAGCTTACGAAGACTCTTCGGTAGTGCAGATTGAAGCAGAGGTTTTTTCCTGTGTGTCCGGAATGGATTTAAGCGCGAATTCAGATCGAGATGAAGGAAAAGTCCCGTTCAAACACTGTTGAAGCAAGAACTGTTTCTTCCCGAGCGTGAAATGGCAGTTGAGTCGCTTCCTGTATTTATACCAGACGGGGGTCGTGGCGTCACTGCGCGTCTCCTCCAATCAGTGAGCTTTGGAGATCACGTGACGGTGACTAAGCATTCTCTATTCAGACTGGTGACAATGACTCAGCCGTTTTGACATCAAGTTTATATACAGAAAATGTTATATACATATTCTTTATTATAATTAATTTCATTGTATTCATCTTTTTTTTTGCACATTTTAACTTGAAATATTAATATAAATATTTTTCTATTAGGTGACTTTTTAAAAACCTTTCTATTCCACATTTAACTTTTACTTCTTGTGTTTTTATAAATATTTTACCTTTTTGTTTTATTCTATTCTAAAAGCCACTTTACTTCTACTCCAATGCAAGTCAATACTGTAATTTTTACTTAAATGCAACAACATGTATTTCATTTTTGTAATTGCTGTCAACACCTATCCATGCTGAACGTTGCTAAGATATTATTGATTGGGGTGTGGCCAAAAGTGCAATATGCTTCAAAATGTAGCTGACAGAGAGCAGTGCTTTTGTCCTGTGTTTTTACACTGTGCCCATGGATTTGATTTGATTAGTTTGTATTAGTTAGTAGTTCAGCCTCTTTGTGTTCACGTTAAGCTTCATTGTGGTCACTTTGAGCATCTATATTCATTTATAAAACGGACAAGTCAAATCAAGCAATCTGATTGGTTCTTAGCCGTGATATACTGAGCGTATACCACGGGTAGAATTGTAGTTACTTTTCACAACAGGTCAGTATCCCTCCGCGTCTGAGTTGCAGTTTGCTTTTCAAACTGGAACAAGAAAGCAGCGGAGAAGCAACGGGGCAGAAACCCTCCTTTTCACGCAGCGGTCCAGACATAGACATCAGACGGCGACACATATTCAGTGTGCAGTTCCTTTGGCATTAGGGCAGGGATATCTAGATACTTTCCAAGGTTTGACATCATGAATTGTGCTACTTTTAAAGCAAGCAACGATGTTTTCAAATCTGTAATCAAAGAGGTCCGCAAAAACACTATCGACCAATCAGATTGCTTGATTTGACTTGTCAGTTTTATAAATATATTTACATTTCTTCCGTTACGAAACAAACTTACAAAGCATAAGATGGAAACATTTAAGGTTAACTTGGACCTCCGGGGGGGTCTTACTATGGAGGAGTGGATTGAGCAGTGCCTATCTCCAGAAAGCCCCTAAACGACGACATGCAGAGCTACGTGACGAGCAGGCAGACCAACTGGAAAAGTAGCACCATTCAAAAGCTTTCTGATGGGGTCTTGAAACAAAGCAGAGACATGATGACCGTTAGTGGCCACAGGTGCAAAGCTCTCTCCAGAGCTGCTGGAAGCCCAATCTCGGGGACCGGAGAAAGTGGAGCAATATTCTCACCACGCCGACCAACAGCCTAGAACAGGGGTGCCCAACCAGTCGATCGCGGGGAGATTCCCAGTCGATCGCGAGATGTGTCTAAAAATAGAACAACAATATTCTGTTTTATCGTTAATGTCCTATAACATAATCTTCCTGTGCCAGAATAATGCACTTGAACGCATCAAAGCTTTGTGATTGGCCGGCGTGACCCCATGTGTTGGGGCGTGGCTGGTGGGCAGTGGGCACTATTTCGCTGACGTTGTCCGTGTCAACAGGAGTGCCAGTCCGCACACACACAAGACCGCAATTATGGCAGAAGCAAAAAAGCCAAACATATATAATTTTCACTCCGAGTGGGAGGATGATTATTTTTGTATCTATTCCAATTCAAAGTCCATCTGTCTCATCTGCAATGCGAGCGTGGCTTTATCGAAGAAGGGTAATTTAGGAGCGGCATTTACGACGGAATTCCCTCCTAATTCTGCCCTACGCTCCCAAAAGGTGAGGGACCTGAAAGGACAGCTAAATGCACAGCAGTCCATTTTCACCAGGCCCAACAACAAGAGCAAGGCTGCTACCATAGCATCTTATCGTGTCAGTCACGTTCTTGCGAAACACATGAAGTCTTTCCAGGCTGAAATGACTGAGGGGGCTGTTCAAAAATCCTAGGGGGCGACTTTTTTTTCACAACAACGAAAAATACTGGCAATGTAATGAATTGACACACCAAGTTTTTTTCATTCTCACTGCTCTACAATCTCTTTGCTTCTTTATTTGTATTCTGGATTGACCCCTCTCATTCTGTTCTTTTCCTCTGATCTTTAATAATAGATAGTACATTATTAGATGCCTGCACTTTGTTAGTCACGTTAACAGACTAACATTGATTTCCTCAATTTATAAATGGACAGGCTCTGTAATTATACCATAA